TAAAATATATATTTTTGCATTTGAAATACAAAGATTTCATAGTGCATTTTTATTTGGAAATGCAATGGCTTTTTCAGCAAACCTGCTCTCTCTGGGTCACCGTGTTCTTTCCTGCGGGTTTGAGTGACTCAGTACAAACTGGTGACCAAAACCAGACAGGTTTCTGGTGCTGTTGGTTGGCCTCCGGATACTGTCAAAACATGAAAAATCTGCTAATTAAACTGGAGTGTGTTTACTTCTGATGATAGACCAAAGATACCAGTTCTTAATTTGGATAGAAAATCAGAAATTCCATTGCCAAAGAGACAGGCTGTGCAAATGGATTTGACGTTGATGGGATCTGGTTGCAACGCGAGGAGTTTGCTCTAAGGAGTCACCAGAGCATGTGACAGCACGGGCTTAAGGGCAGCTGCAGTGGAGTTCTTGCTGTGCTCTCCGAGTGCTCTGCAGCTCGTGGAAACCTGAACGGTACTACATGGTCTTGCAGGATTAAAATCCATTTTCTTGGTATGGTGCAGAAAAGCCTTCAGAATTGCTGTATGTGAAATGCTGTGGAAATGGTTGATGACACTGTGCTCTTCTTGATTCTGTTAGAAAGTCTATGAACAGCTTTGCTGCCAGCAAGGAACTTCTTAATATGATAAAGCAAAGTACTTAGTTGTATACACCTTTTTCTTAAAGCTGGTCATAGAACTTTCATCACTGTACTCTGAAGCCAGAGCGTACCTACTCAGTAGTTCAGTAATTGTCATTGATAAAAGAGCTGCTGTTTAGAGATTTTCATTCAGCTAAAGGATGGAGTTAAAGCTTTAATGGAATATTGATCCAGCTTTTGGGAGTGCAGTTAAGCAATATGGCATGATAATATGGGGAAACACTGTCCGAAAGACATCAGGTTCGTAAGGAGTAGGAAAGCAATTCATTCAGTTTCTGGAAATGATGATAGGTGTGTTAGAACAAATGGTTCCTTTTGCCTAGGAATGGGAACTTACCAGTATGATCCGCCCAGTATGGATTAAAGGTGGAGGAAGCTACATGCATCTTAAGTAGACGTGGGGGTTTGCAGTTAATCAAATGTTTGTTTGGGTGAGGTCATATTCAGATCATTGCCCTAATATTAGAGAACATATTTTCAGCAAACCTGTCATATGATCTTCTGGTACAAAAGTGGAGCAAAACAAAAGTGAGTTACCATTTGATGGTGTTTTTTTTAACATCCCTATTTTGCCTATTTTGCTGGTTTATGCGAGTTGCTGTGTATTCAAATGTACACCCTTTGAAATGTTCAGATGTGCCTTGACCCATGCTCAGCTAACACAGAAGTCTCAGCTGTTTAACTGTTAAAGGAGTATGAGAAGATAATCAGAAACAAGATTGTTTAAAAAAATTTTTTTAAAGATACAGTTGATTTCTTCTATGCGTATAACTCCCACATTTAACTTTTGTCTTCTTTAAAGTGCTGAGATAAAAAAGAAAAAAATAAGGGTGTTTCTTAACACCCTGCCCTGACCGTACTGTAAACATTTATCTTGCAGAGCCATAAGTGTGATACTCGGTGACAGGTGGAAGAAAATGAAAAATGAAGAAAGACGGATGTACACACTAGAAGCCAAGGCCTTGGCGGAAGAACAGAAACGTTTAAATCCTGACTGTTGGAAACGAAAACGAACAAATTCTGTATGTTTGTGAAGCAGTCTTTTACATTATGCAGTTGAACGTGTTCATACGGTAGCTACAGTGGTTTTTGTTTAGGATAAACTCTGCTGTCTGCTTCGTTCTTGGTAGCCCAAACCTTCATTTTACTCCCCTGTGCTGTGTGACCTGCTTTTGGACAGTTGGCAGGAGACAGATCAGGAGAGGGTCTGTCTTTGAATATTTTATGAGAGTTCCGTGAACTCTGTTGGACTGAAAGTGAGTGTGCTTGTGAAATACAGAGGAAGGGCACGCGACCTTTTGTTTGAAGTAACTGAGTTTATAAGGTTGTACCTAAATTACATCTGTCCATTCCCCTCAAAACCACTTTCACAAAATCCTTCTCTGTTGTGATTCAGTCAGTCTGCTTCTTCAGTAAAAGCTTTTTCTTTACCATTTTCTCTTTTTTACTCATAATTTATATAAGCATATATGACATTACTGAGGGAGCAATTAATTTTTTTCCTCATTAATCCCTTTCATTTTTTACTCTGTTTTAATTGTAAAATAAATACGATAACACTTCTTCTGTAGGGAAATAAATTGTTTTCCACTTTGTAGAAGGCCGCCAATTTTAAGAGTCTGCAGCAATGTATTAGTAGGTGGTGGGTGTATTAGGTAAGATGAGGGCTTTCAAGCTAATACATCATATCAAGAGAACATCAAAAAAAGGAGATTCTGCCAACCTGCACGTTCAGCTAGAAGAGCAGGTTGGAAGGAAAGATCCACTGAGGTGCACAGAATGCAGGTCAGGTCCTTTCATCAGCCATTTTATGCCTGGGTAGGAGCATCGAGTGTGGTGTGGACTTCACAGGTTTAAGATTTCATCTTCAAACTACCCCCCTTCCTTTCATGTGTAAATGAGACTACTCTCTCAAGAGCATATGCAAGTGTTGCCTTAAGACTGAGTAAGAAATGCTCCAACACTAAGTTGCTTCTTATTGCTGTACATACTTGGTGCTGAGTTTTCAGTCCCTTGTTGCAGAAGGTTTCACCAAATCCCAGCTGCTAGGAACAAGCTGTTTTTCTCTTCACTGTATTCTATTTTAATCAACAGTGACAGCTTCTGTTAGATTTCTTTGTGGGTTTAGTTGAAATACTACTATTTATTCTGCTTTTACACTACTGCAGTCTTGGGCACTGGATGGTGAGATCAAGTTCACCTCACACGTACGCCTGTGAGCTTCAAGGAACTCAGTGGGGGTGTTTGTAACTGAGAGGAACAGTGATGGGTTGGCCTTAGGAAGATGGATGGCTTTCTTACCCTACCTTGTAGTAGGATTTTCCTTGTCCTTAGGGTCTTCAGGCCAAGATAACAGTAGCTGTAGAACCTGTTACCTCAGTGTCACAGCAGGAAATACCTTTTTTAATTGTTTTTTGTGGGTGAACTAAGAATATTGTTTGCAGCTTGGTTACCTTATCAAGTAATGATGGTGGACCCCAGGCTGTGACAGAGAAGTCTTGATGGTCTTTTGATGATCAGGGAATAAAATCATCTGTTTCGGCCTTTTGTTTTCTTCTGAACAACTGACCAATGATTACAAGTACTTGTGACTTTCAAAACAAGCGTGTGCTAGATTTAAGATAATGTCTACTTCCCCTTTGCTTGGTAACCGCTAACCTGGTTTTCTCTTCTCTTTTCTCAGGGCTCACAACAGCATTAAGCCAGAATTTTCCTGTTAACTCTGTATTTACAAAATGGCTGTTGCTTGATGGCAAGAAGATGCAAGATCAAGGTCTTACTATTCGTTGTGACTTTGTGTGACCATAAAATACTGGCACCATCAAGTCGGAGATGATCTAATATGAGTGCAGATTTGCTTTTTACAATAGAACATTAAGTAAGCTAAAACTATCAACATTTTAAACCAAATTGCCTTATTTTTCTTCCAAACTTCATATATGTATCAGGTAATATAGGCTTGAAAATGGATATCCTGTGGTGCTAAAGTACTTTAGAAAGAGGCGAAGGAGACGTGTATAAATGTTTATTTTTAAAAGAAAATGTACAAAAAGGGGAATTTTAAAATACGTAACAGCTGTTTATATACATTGATTCTTATTGCTGATTAATATGTATTGCACAACCATATTATTAATTACGATTCTGGGACCTGGGATTTTCTGAAATGGCAAAATGTATTACCAGTCTCTAGCTTCCCAGCCTGCCCAGATGCCAACAAGTTACCGGAACATGTGGTAAATGGAGGGCGTAGTGTAATGTAGCACAGGAGCTGCTTCTTGGGTTGCCACGTATAAAATTTGTATCCACAAGTGAGATGTTTTTGCACCAGCTGGCAATAGCGAGAGCTGTTATTTCCAGTGGAAACAATGGCCCAGGCCAGCATGAAATGAATAAATAGCATTCTCTTAAGAAAAATGGTGCTGTTGATATTGTCACCATCATAGTTTTAACTCTGTGTTTTGTCTTTGCCACATATTCTACAATATTTTATTTTGCCATAAGACATCTTTATGGTGGGGGCAAACTTTGCACTTAACTATACGTGCAACACTTGCACTTTACTTTTTTTTTTCCTCCAACTGTGTAAAACTAGAGCAGCTGCATTAGGATTACAATTGCTTCTGCTGTGAACTTTTACAATCATGGCTTTTCATGTACTAAACAGCTGTGTGTTTTTTTTTTAAGAATCACAACTGTAAATTTCAGTTTATGACACATGTCTACATGATGTTGCCCCTAAGATTTTTGCACACTATATTCTTGTATATTATTTCAAATAAATTCATTAAAATTTGGTGTTGCGTATTTTGTGAAACGGAGATGACTAATCATTAAGTCAGCCCTGCAGCGATGAGCATGTTCTGTGTGGAAGTCTTTACATGAAGCCATCCGAAGTGTATTTTGATGTTTTCTAGTTAGGAAGCTGCTGAAGAATTTCACATACTGAATTCAAGATTGGATAGCCAGTGTTCTTTATTACAGTTTAAGCAAAAAGAGAGTTGAAATCAATATAAATTATTTCAAAGTGAATAGCAGTGCAATAGAGAATCATTTACGTTATTTATAAATATTTTTCCTTGTGTTAAAAAGTGATTTTTTAGAGAATCATTTATGTTATTTATAAATATTTTTCCTTGTGTTAAAATTAGTGATTTTTAGATGGAAACTGATGATTCTAGCATTTCAAAAGTACAATTTTCTGAATAAGGCTAAAATGTATCCAACTGTGTAAAACTATACTTGTAGGAAAAGAGCTACTTCCTTCTTCGAGATATTGAGCAATTATACTGTGATATTTGAGCACGTTCTCATTTTACACCTTTCTAAATTCAAAAGGAATGCTGAAGAATGATTCATTTTTATTAGATGCAGATTTACAGCACATAAAATTTGTACGACTTTCTTACAATATTTGTGTATAATTACGTTCCTGTAATGCGAATGTAGAGAAAGAAGACAGAAGTTTCATAGATGAAGCAGGTAAATGCATTTCATTGTAAAGCTTACGTATTTGGGAACAAGAACCGTAAGTATGTATGTGGCACCAAAGACCCATGACTGTTACTGTCCGCTCCCTGTTTTGAGAGAGTTGTGCAAACACGTTCACTGAAGGGTCGACATCGCTTTCTGCAGCAGCTGAACCATTATGGGATAGACTGGTGCAAACTCCTTTCCTTCTCTCGTTCTTACTGATTGGACATAAGCTTCCAGTGCACCGCTTAAAAAAAAAAAAAAAAAAAAGCTAAAGCAATTAAATAGCATATGAATACTGTAAGTTCAGGATCTGCAACTGAAATTAATCGACTTCTTCCCTACTACAGAATTTTCCTCAGATGAACTTGCATGTCTCTGGAAGGAAGTGGGCAAGAAAGGCCTTACAAAGCTGTACATAATTGTTGCATGAACTTTCTCTCCTTTTCTTGCATGGTTTGAGGAGTGAACAAGTTAACATTTAAATCGGCGGCAGCAGCATGTTGCAGATGGCTTGAAATGACAGCTCTGACGCACAGACGCGGGCACATTGCTGTACTGGTAACCTTTAGAAATGAATAGACTCCAGCTGCTGCAGACGCTAAGAGTACAACTTCCAGAATGAAAACTGGGACACTGGTGAGCAACCGAGATGCCTTTAGGTGATTTCCTGGCTACGTCTTTCAAACTGCCGCTGTCCTTTGGGAAATGCTGCACTAACCCACAGACAAAGGGTATGTGTGTGTCTGTGTGTCTTTGCCGTGTTTTTCTCTTACACATTGTTGTAGGATGTCACACATATAAGTAGTCTTGTGTGATTTACCCAAATACAGACATTTCAAAGCTAAAAGGGGCAGCTGTGATGATTGTCTTGTACTTGGCTGTACGTAATTTAACTTGCTTTGCAATACAGGGCCACCTTTCATCCAGCGATTCTAGTAAATAGTATTGTTGAATGACAGCATATCTGTAAAACAAAGATTTTGTAAATGCTGATCTGTTCAGATTTTTGACTTCATTAAGTAGGCCAAGTTAGTTTTGCCATACTTAAATATGGCTTCTAATTTAATTAATTTTTCCCTCTCCTTGTTCTCTTCTCCTATTTCTTCGTGTTATAGATGCAATGATCGTGGGGTTTCCTTCTAAAAACCCTTTCTTTATATTACATTCCATTGGTGCTATTTACAGCAAAATTGTGACATTTAGGAAAACATGCACAAACAACAGCCCCCATTTCAAGCGGGGACTAAGACAACACCCGGTACACGGCTGTTCCTCTTCTGGTTGGTGACAGCTGCAGCACTGATACAGGCTGTCATCACAGACCTTCCCGGCCGTACCCAGGCACCATCCCCCAGGGCAGCGGGTCCTGCTGCTAATGCCCAAGCAGCAGAGCTGAAATTGTCACTCAGGGTCACTGAGTGGGGAAGCAGTCCTGGGGTTTTTGTCTCCCGCATTCCTTTATGGAAGTGTGGGACACACCAGCACGGCTGCTCTGCCAGTGAGGGGTGCGCTGGGTTTTGGTAACGTGGCAGGAACATTCCCAGTGCCACTGGGGGAAGGTGGGTGCTTGTTGTGCACATCTGGCGATGTGAAGGGGGCTGTGGGGTTGAGCGAGATGGTAGCAGTGTCATGCATATAAATACACAGCAACTGCTGTAAGATGGTGGGCAGGGCCGGGGGGGCGGGGATAGCTGTGTTTATGTTCGCTGCTACTTCCAACAGCCAAGCTTGCTGTGAAATACTGCATTCCCGCACAGAGTTCAGGGGACCTAAGGCAGCACTGCCAACCTATGCGTGCCTGCTGGCAACTGGAGGTGATGAGAAGTGAGTAGGCATTTAATTAGGCAAGGCCTAAGGAAAGCAGAAGCACTCAAGAGTGAGACTCAGCCTGTGTTTCACACACACATACAGTCTCCTCCTGGAGGAGGATGAGAGAGGAGAGGCCCAGATCCCCGTGGGATGCTGCAGCACTGGGAAGCTACAGCCGAGCCTAGCAAACCTGGCGAACCAGAACAGGAGATGGTAGGAAGAAGCAGGGTCATAATACGCTTTGCTGCCAGTAAAGCTATTGCTAAACGAGGAAGGGCTCTGAACTTCCTAAATGAAAACTAAACCCCACCCATGTCAGAGTGCTGCTGGGAATCTCCAGCAAAGTTCATTTATTAACAAGTGGGAGATGCCTCTGAGGCCAAGAGCCTGGACTCGGTTTGCTGGAGAGACGAGTCTGAGCTTTGGGTTCTGAGAAGCCAGTGACAGCGATGACAGCCCGGCCCCGCGAGCAGGTCCCAGGGCTGCATCCGCTCCTGCCAGCACTTCTGACCTCCATCAAAGCCAGGCGCTGATCTGTAAGCCTCCCGGCCAGAGTGCAACAGGAGGAGTTGGGAGTCCACACGTGGCACGCACACACACAAAACCACACACTTGCAGTCAGACCCCCTGGCCTGTCGCTAATGGAGTCTGACAGGGAGAGTGACGCGTGCAACTGTGCTGAGCACAGGATGGGAATGAAACAGCACGGGCACGAGGCAATGCCCACCACCCACCGTAGCTCCCGACGTCCCCAGGCAGGGCAGCTGGACTTCAGACTCCCTCTTTTCTGAAACCCAGGACGCATTGTCCGAGACTGAGGTGATGCACAAGGAGGATGGACTGGATTATTGGAAAGAGTTGAGAGGTTTCAGAAGAATAAACTGACTGAGCAAAGAAACAGTCCCTCGTGCTGGCAGGGATGCACTTGAGAGCTCTTCAATTTTGACAACTTACTAGTGAGTTACTGCTGAGGGGTCCACACCAGGTACCAACACACTCTGAAGAGTCACTTGGCATTTTTTGCACATCAACAAACAGCAAGAGAAAAGTTATCCTCTGTTACAGCCAGAAAGGCAGGGAAAGAATATTTATTTTATCTAGCCAAAATAAAGCTGATTTTTCGCACCTGGTCAGCTCCCTGAAAACCTTCAGCCTGCTCTTCCCGATGGTCTCGGGGGAGCAGCGCAGGGTCTACAGGGAAAGAGGCAACAACTAAAAAAACTGCTTGCTATAGCCACAAAGTGCTTTGAGTGCAGCTCACCTCGCTCCCAGCACAGGCCATCAGCATGATGGACTGCAGAGGTCAGGCATATCCACAGGCACGTTTTAAATCCCAAGATTTAAAGAGAAGAAGTGAGACTGGGTGAAAGGGACAGCAGGGAAGTGTGCTTTTTAGATAAACTGGCCTCTCGTGGCAATGAGGGGCAGAGCATGTCATGAGCAGACCGAGCAGTAGGTGGGAGATGCAGGCAGGGAAGGCTCAAGGATCCCATCAAGACGAGGGGAGATGCTTCAGAAGAGTCAGATGTGTCTCACATTCCACTCAGGTCAGTGTTCAAGTGCTCTGGTCAGCAATAATCGTTAAACTTGTTAGATGTTAGTTACCTGTAACACTGTCCCTCACAGCATCCTTCTGGACAAGTTGTCCAACTGTGGGATCAGTGGGTTCACGGTGCACTGGCTGAAGAACTGGCTGAAGGGCAGGGCTCAAAGGGTTGTAGTGAATGGGACTACAGCTGGCTGGCGACTGGTCACCAGCGGTGTTCCTCAGGGTTCAAATCTAGGGCCGGTTCTGTTCAATATATTTATCAATGATCTGGATGCAAGAGTTGAGTGCACCGTTAGCAAGTTTGCTGATGATACCAAACTGGGAGGTGCTGTTGACTCTCTTGAGGGACAAGATGCCTCGCAGACGGACCTACACAGATTGGAGCATTGGGCTATGATTAATGGGATGAAATTTAACAAGTCCAAATGTCGGATTCTGCACCTAGGATGGAGTAATGCCGGGCACAAGTACAAACTGGGAGGGCAGTGGCTGTAGAGCAGCCCTGCAGAAAGGGAGCTGGGGGTGCTGGTCGACAGCAGGCTCAATATGAGTCAGCAG